ATGTGTTCATGTGTGCACACGTGTGAGTGTGGGTGTCTGCACAGGTGCGTGTATGTGTGAGTGTGGGTGTCAGCGAGTGCACAGAGGCTTGAGCAGAGTTTGTGTACGTGTGTTCATGTGTGCACACGTGTGAGTGTGGTTGTCCGCACAGGTGCGTGTACGTGTGAGTGTGGGTGTCATCGAGTGCACAGAGGCTTGAGCACAGTTTGTGTACTTGTGTTCATGTGTGTGTGCGCATGCTGAAGCAGTGGTGAGACTTGCTGAAAGCATTTCTTGTTAGCTGGGCGCTGATGCTCCTCAGCCGAGCGAGGGGCCTTGGAGAAGCCTGACTGACCGGTGGAGATTCCTGAGGCCCGGGGAGAAAACCACCTCTGGCCACCCCCCCATTCGCAGATTAGGCAGTTGTCTGTATAAGGTTTCTACAGAAACCTTAGAAAATTTTCTGCCTCCCCTGCTTTCTCTAGGGTCAGATAACGTGCAGGAGGGAGGAGGAGCAGGTATAAAGAGGCCCCTTCCGCGGCTCTGTGCCAGCAGGGCCTGTTCCAACCTGCGCTTCACAGTGAGGCCCACGAGAACGTTCCCACACTGCTCCAGCACCTCCCTGGCGCCGCCTGATGGGATCCAGTGCATTCTGCGTGGCATTTGAGGCGCGTTTCCAGAATGATGTGGAAATGTCCCGTCCCCATCCCACCCCATAAGTAGGTTCCGTGTAGCTGCTGGTCCTCTCACTTGGCACAGGTCCTTAACAGGCCCTTTCGCACGGAGGCCTGCAGGGAGTGTGGCTGGTTTGGCGTGGGTGCTCGTCAGCCCTGCCCACGGGGTCTCTGATCCACACTCTTCCTTCGCAAAGATGTCCTTTTAAAAATGACAACAAACCACCCTTGATTCAGAAGCCAGGAAAACACTAATAAAAATGCTTAATTGAAGTTCACTTTTAAGAAGGATTTCTCTCCCAGTCCCTTTTACCCAGCACAGCTGCTGTTTGACAACTTTTCCCATTTTTTTCTTCTTCTTTCCCCGCATCCCCTACCCCACCCCCATATCCCCTCTCTGCTCCAGCAAGGGCTTATCTTTCAGCTGCGGAAAAACCACCGATTAAACAGCACTCCAGAACTTATCAAGCTATTCAGCTGGTAAAGTTATCTTATAATCAGCCTAACTGTAAGCCAGAACTTTCTAACCTCAGGAAATGTAAAGTTACCCAGCAGGCGAAACCTGTAAATTGCTCATTCGTGTCTTTTGGCCACAGTTTCTGTTTTCTTTCTTTCCCAAAGCAATTTCCTCCTTGTCCTCTACATTCTTGATCTCCTCAAGGTATCTTACTCTTCTGTTTGCTTAAGTCTCAAAGAAAATAAAATCCTGGTTTAGTTGAGATAGACATTGAATCAGTTCATGTGAAAACAGAAACCAAACCCGTTGCCATGGAGTCACTTCTAACTCATAGTGACCCTATAGGACAGAGTATAACTGCCCCATAGGGTTTCCAGCGAGTGCCTGGGGGTTTCAAACTGCCGACCTTTTGGTTAGCAGCCGTAACACTTAACCACTACACCACCAGGGTATCAGGTGAGCATGGTATGAAATCAACTTGATTTTGTGTATTTTATGTCTCCATTTTTAGATATTCCTTTTTTTAGAGTTAGCTTTATTCTCCCTGAGACCCCACTGCTCAGCCTTGTTCGCGTTTCGGGTATGTATGTTCATAACACACAGCCGAGTTACTCTGGAGCTGAGCTGTTCTGACAAAGTCTGGGGATTCTGCTGTGTGCTGAGCTGGACAGCGGCACGGGGCTTTCTCACTGCAGCTTTTTACTCCTCGGCTCTCATGGCTGCCCCCGACTCCTCCCACCTCCCACCACCCCAGCACAGACCCACGAAGGAACCTCCTTCCCCACCCCGCTGGGGCTGACATCTAGGGAACTGGGGATGATGCGTTTGGGAGTCTTAAAGTGCACTGTAAGTAGACTTTTCGCGTAGAAATGATGGTATACGTGATACCTAGGTTCCTCATGGCTGTGAATTTGTTGTTACCTACGGTCAAAGCTGACCCACTCGTGGCAACTCCATGTACAATGGAAGGAAATGCTGTCTTGTCCTGCGCCATCCTGTGATCAGTTGCAGATTGGACTGTTGTGATCCACAGGATTTTCAGGGGCTGTATTTTGGAAGTAGATCACCAGGCCTTTCTTCCTAGTCTGCCTTAGTCTGGAAGCTCCGCTGAAACCTGTTCAGCATCATAGCAACATGCAAGTCTTCACTGACAGATGGGTGGTGGCTGTGCATGAGGTGCATTGGCCGGGAATTGAACCTGGGTCTCCTGCATGGGAGGTGAGAACTCTACCTCCGAACAACTGATGCCCTCACTGTGAATTTGTCAGACTGTTAGTGCCATAGTTCGCTGACAAGTGGGTCAGTGAGACATACGGAATGTTTGATGCTAATCATCATTTTTTATGTGATGATGTACTTTCAAAGTTCCAAAAACTAATCTAAAAATTGAATTCCATCATGTAACAACATTTGCATAAAGGGGGCGTTGTCTGTCATACGGTGCTAGTAATGGTAGTTGTTATTTCTAGAGTTTCTCTTGTCTTCGGGCAGTGTGCACACACATTACAAAATTGCTTAATCCTTACATTAATCCTGTGAGGCAGTAATCATCTTTCCTGTTTTACAGTGGAGGAGACTGAGGCTCTGAGAGTTTAAGTAACTTGTTGATGCTTACGAGTTAGCAGCTGGCCTCCCGTGAGCCAGCAAGGCCCAAGCCATAGGATGTGACCCCCGCTTATTGCACGGAGGCTTCCCCAGCGCCCTCAGAGTCAGGAGGAAGTGGCAGCTTCACCTGGACCCCTTCTCATTGACCTGCTCGGCAGCTGTGTGCCCCCAAGCAGGCCGTCTCTTGACTTCACAAGTATTGTTCTCCGCTGGATTTCTTTCCTTCCGCCAGAGCTGAGGCTTCTTGGCCTTGGGTTTGTGGGATCAGTGTGAAAGCCGTGCTGATCCCCAATCCCCAAGGGGACTCTGGCCCAGGTGGCCCTGATGGCCTGGGCCCCAGTCAGTGCCCGGGGGCCGGGGGCGGGTGGAGACCAGCTCCCAGGGCCTGTGGCGGTGGCCTCGTAACGTGGCGTGTGACACAGTCCCACCCTGCAGTCTCCATCTTTCCCTTCGTTTCAGAGCTGGAAAAGCTCCCTTCTGGAACTCTTTCACACTGATGTATTTTAGACCTTTGACAGCTTTTCAGAATGTGAATATCCTCTAAGAGCTAAGCTGAAAACTAAAGATCTGTCCTTAAAACGTGTTATTTATGAAGCATAAATATTTGGGCATCTTGGGAACATTGACCGTGTGAAGTGAATTTTCTTGAGTGTCTGACATATTCTTGATATTAATACGTTTTTCTCTCTCTTTTTAATTATAGCTTGGGTTGATGATAGCCATTCGTTACAGCCACAGGTAAAGCTTTAAAATGTTTGTTTTAAGAAGTGTTCTGACTAGTGTACAGCTGGTGGTTTGCTGTAGCCCGAAGGTCTTGTCGTATCTTTTTGCGACTGCTCTACCCATTCTGCCCGTGTCAAAACCATTAGCTGGAATCATTCTATTTGCTTGATTGGTGGGGGTGAGTTGCTATTTGAAGGAATAAGGTTTTTAATTAGAAGTCGTGGTAGGTAGCCCATTTCTTTTAAATATGATGTGGAGTTTTCTGGAAATGTACTCTCTGTCCAAGGAGACGTGGTGGTGCAATGATCAAGTGCTCGGCTGCTAATAGAAAGGTCGGTGGTTTGAACTCACCCAGAGGCACCTCGGGAGAAAGGCCTGGCCGTCTGCTCCTGTAAGGATTACAGCCAAGAAGACCCTCTGGGGCAGTTCTACTCTGTCACGTGGGGTTGCTGTGAGTCGGAATTGATGCGAAGGCACCTAACAACAATAACAACCCTGTCCAAGGGTGAGAAACAAAATCAGGGACAGCCTGTGTGAGAGACGAGGCCAGGAAAGCAGACGCCAGGGAAGGTGTTGCTGGTGAGGCCCTTCCCTCTGTGCGGTGCTCTGCCTTCCTTCTGCAGGTTCGACTGAGTAAGGCCAGCAAAAAAACCAAACCCATTGCCATGGAGTCCATTCTGACTCATAGCGACCCAACAGGACAAAGTAGAGCTGCCCCACAGGGATTCTAAGGAGTGACTGACTGGTGGATTCCAACTGCTGACCTTTGGGTTAGCAGCTGAGCTCTTAATCACTGAGCCACCAAGCCTCCTGAGTAAGGCTGACGCCCCCATTTTTGTCCTGCTTCGTGAATTCTGTCTTTGTCTCGACTGCATGAAGTTTATGGAAAGCGTTTGTTTTTGTCTTAGTAGTATCAACCCTTTCCCCTCCGCAGTCATCAAAATGTATTAAAATGTTGAGTGAATTAGAGAAAAATACCCCTCCTGTCCTTACATCATGCTCACAGCCTCCCAAAGTGCCGCCGTGGATAACACTGTGAATAATTCATCTTCCTCTGGGTTTAGCGGGAAACTCTGGAACGGTCGGTGCTTTCTTGCTTCTGGAAAGGTCAGTTCTCCACAAATAAACCCAACAGTTACTGACTTCAAAACTGATTTGCCTTTTTTCACGATTGTGATACACTGTATGCGTGGTTTAAATGAGGTGATAAAATAGGCACTCCCTGAGCTTTTGGAAAACTGTGGCGAGCTGGGCCGGAGCCAGAAAGCAGAGGGATGGATTTGAACCCTCAGAAAGTGTGTGTGGGAAGAAGTGGTCGAGTGGGACATTTCTGGACACCCTTGGAGGAAGGCTACCCCAGACATGCTCATGACCATTATATGTTTCAGAGTCATGGAGTCATGTGTGTGCATGGTGCTTGCACATGGCAGAGTCATAGCGTCCTGCAGGGCATGGTGCTGCCCTTCTTGAGCATAGCCAGGATGCTGCGGCCGATGAAGCACATGAACCAGGAACCAGTCCCACAACCCAGGGACCAGTCACTCGAGCCTGGGACCAGTCACATGAGCCTGGGACCAGCCACACGAGCCTGGGACCAGCCACACCAACATGGAACCAGTCACACAACCCTGGAACCAGTCACGCCAACCTGGAACCAGTCACAACAACCTGGAACCAATCACGCCAACCTGGAACCAGTCACAACAACCTGGAACCAGTCACATCAACCTGGAACCAGTCACACGACCCTGGAACCAGTCACACAGCCCTGGAACCAGTCACACCAACCTGGAACCAGT